ACGCCCATTTTCCAAAAATTTATAATATTCTTATTTTGCGTCTAAAAATTGTTACAAATATAAATTTTGAGTGCATAATCTTCGGTAGTTACTAAAATATCGCAGTTTTCGTATTTCTGGAAATTACCGTTATATGGGAAGTGGGCGTGGTTACAGTCCGATTTCGCCCATTTTCAATACCAACCTACCTTGGATTAACGGAAAGCTACATACCAAATTTCGTTGAGATACCTCAATTTTTGCTCGAGTTATCGTGTACACAGACGGACAGACGGACGGACAGACAGACATGGCTTAATCGATTTCTCTATTCATTCTGATCATTTATGTATACATTTGTCTATATCTATATAAAAATGCATACACTTGGAGTTTGCTATTGCCGAAGTGCGACCGCTATTACAAAAAACATTTATTGATTATTATTTTTTTGAGTTCTTCGGAAACCTTGTTTGAACCCAGGCCCTGCGGAATGGTATCGCACACTGCTAACCACTACACGACAGCGGCCGCCGAGTGAGTTATGGAGCGTTGAAAAGGAAAGATGGACGTATCATAAAAAATAACAAGCAAATATCCGAAATGCATGAGAACGACGAGCTTAAAATGCTATACGACCGGATAAATATTCGAAAGTTGTTCAGAAATTTCGGCCCTTCGCCGACGGTTTCAAGACCGGTGCGAGCTGATGTGAATATCAGAAAGGTGACCGATGTACAGAGTCCCCTTTTCCATTCTGCTGAATGGTAATTTTGACGAAATTGTGAAGAAAGCGAATACCCCGATCGTTGATGACGAAATCAATGTTCCGTTCTATAACCAAGACGAGATAAGAATAAGTCTAAAAAATTATACAGCTGCTAGTTCTGAAAGAATCCGAGCTCAGCTCTTCAAATTTGTATGGCGGCAAGGAGATGGTATGACAAAACGAAAGCATTATTGCCGATTGTGAGATATGTATGTATGTATATGCATTAGCCTAAGTGCCACCAGGTTGGCCGATTCATGGTAAAAAGGAAACTCCTAACTCTAAGCAACATACTAGGTAGGTAACCTGAAACGTGTTGCGATTAAACCCCAATCACAACCTTCAAGGTCGCATGAAAGACAACGGTATTAGTTCAGTAGATTAAGCAGATTTTCTGGAGCAAAATCAACAGTAAACGGTTAATGCTCGATTTTAAATGTTCATGTTACTTTTGCAAGACAAAAATTTATTTTGAGCAAAATGGAATCCCCTAATCGACAGAGATAACAAATTGGGTCACACTAGCAACCTGCTCTCATGAACTTTGATTACAAATAATTCCACCAAATAGTATGTATCACGATCAGGCATGGGCAGAGAGTTAGCAGGTGCTAAAAGAGCGTAAGCGTCGCGTGTACGTATACAAGCGAGAGCGCAGCGATGAGAACACGACAGCATGCAAATTGAATTAGGCACACTAACACATTCTCACTTTTAGCTCACGCTTTATTGTGGTAGTGCCCACCTTTGATCACGATAGTCTCAAAATTCACTCTTAAAGATTCATGCAGCCGCTCTTACGTTCAGATACAAAGTAAAGAATTCACTGCCAAAAAAA